GTTGGGTAAATATATTTGGAGTGTGGGCTAGCGGGTCTGGCAGTTGACCATCAACCCAGACTGCAGGCTCCTTGCACCTTTGCTCTTGCTTCTAAAAATTCCTTGTTGCTTTGTTAATCAGTGCAAATGATGCAATTGCATTTGTATTGCCACTTGTAGAAGAGCATTTTCTAGGCCTCTGTGTCTGCTTGACCGCTGAGAAATGCAGCCTTGACTGATAAGATGGTTATTTTCTAGCGGAAACACACCTTCCACATCTAATCCAGTTATGCCTGAGCAGAAACCTTTCCAAAGCCTCTGCAGATGGATTGCAGCACTCCTGCTGTACCCTGTGTTTGTGTGACAGTGAGTGCTTGTGGATGACGGGTATAGAATAAACCACATTCCAGCCTAGGTGGGGGCAGAGATCCCAGTGAACTATGTGCTCCCAGGCATGGTGGGGTCTTGTGACTGGTACGTCATCCCCTGGCTTTTTCTTTCCCTCTTGCCCTTCTTCTCCATTCCTGGCGTTACCAGAGTTTGAAAGAGCAATGATCTCCATTTACCACAGGTTCTCTCTCCAGCCTTTTTGTCTTTCTTGTTGCTCTGCAGCAGAGTATCGTATACCCAGACTTTGTTCAACTTTGTGTTGCGCATAGCTGACCTGCGCAATCTCCCTGTCCCCTTCCCATCAGACTTGGAAGTCTTCCAGAGCAATGCTGCTTGTAATCCTACATCCAGTAGTATCGCAGAGGTACAGAAGAGGAGCGTCCATGTCATCAGGATGCCGTAGCATTACCCCTCATTTTGCTTAGTGTATTAGAAATGTTGTTATTCTGGGAGACTCGGCCTGCCTCTAGCTATTTGGATCTTCTGTTGAGGTGTGCTTTTTGGCTAAGGCTCTGAGTTTCCACATTTTATTTTAACATATGTTGTGGTTTGCCTTGGTAAATCTGAGAACAGGAGATGGAAAACTGAATGGAGACAAAAATAGCTTATGACCAGCTATCCCTATTACCCTTCAGTATTCTGCAAATAGACGGAATGAGGAGTTGTAGCTGAATTGTCTTGTCCCTGTAGCTATTAGGTGAACCCTGCCATTTTTTATCCCTCCCTCATAACCTGGCATCTCTGGTCTGTCATGTCTTACCCATTTATTCCTGGAGTGGTATCTCTGGAGGGGATATTTCTGTCTCTCCTGCTGGGTTACAGCTGTGCAAGAGACTGGCTTGAAACCCCTGGTCCATTGAAATGCTTTCTGCTTTTTAAATAGTCTCCTCTAAAGCCTTTAGTGATGTCCTTTACAATCACACAATTTTGAAAATACTCCAAGATTGCTTAAAAATGCTGTGCCCCTCAGAGACTTGCCCTTCAGTCGTATTTTCCTGCTGCCTCGCTCTCCGTGTTGCTAGTTTCTTTATGCTTATACTATAAGCGCTTTCTGGCAGCCTTTGGCACCGTGAACGCTGCTCTGTGGCTGAGGCTCCAGGTGCACAGTAACACCGACAAACAGTAAAGGTGGGAACTCCACACAGGGTTTCCAGCCTGGACCCTCTGTTTTCCACCTTGATGCCAGGAGGTGACGAGGTGCTGTGGGAACATTGCCTAAGCGGTTTTCCAACTTGCTTTCTGACTTACTATCATTACAATAATCAGAAGGGGAGATATGGCATCCTCAGAGGCCCACCCTTAAGCACTGCAGGCTTAGTCACTGTAGCGGAGAACAGGGGATGCCGCCAACCTCAAACTGCAAGTCTGAGCTCCCGGAGCTGGCAGGAGGACCGTGCCTTCCCCCCAGTGCCGGTGGCTCCTCGAGTGCCCGCCTGTCTGCTCCCTGCCTGAAAAGGGACCGGGCTACGCGCCGGGAGGCAACCGCTCTGGACAAACATCCTGTCTCCAGCCAGGCCAGACATCCACAGCTGGCGCGGCGGCGGCCGAGCATCACTGATAGCACGGAGCCTTGGAAGGGGCTGCGCTCCCCATGCCGCAGCTCATGAGGGGCTGGTGCTGGGGAGCAGCCCCCCGGGGCCGGCCGTTGTGCTGCAGCTGCGTTTTGTAGCTCACCGGTGACAAGGTGCAGAACAAAACCTCAAGGCTTGAGATGTAGCTCAAAACTGCAGGGTCTGTACAGCCAAACGGCAAGGCTCAGAATTCAGTAATTATAAGCCAGGAAAACAGTTTTTAGTTATTTAGCCCCGTACGGGGCTTTGCCTACTGGATAGGTGGAAGTATGAGAGCTGTCTGCTGAGACTCCACATTTCTCCCTAGAATTGTTTTAGATACTACAGAGGTAAAACACACCAAAATGAAAGATTAACCCCAATAATAATCTAAGGGGAACGGCACGGAAAAGTTACAGGGGAGAACGTGGAGCAAATAGAAACGAGACAGAAGGGAAAAAACAAAACTATTTCAGAGCTGTGTGGCAGGTGAGGAAAGTGGTCAGGGAAGTCGTCTGGATGCAAACCCAGCCACACTGAAGGCACCAGAGTGGACAGACTGTGTTCTCAGCTATGGGTAGGATCCACTGGCGCTGAACTCGCTGCGAGGAGCCCAGGTGTGGTCCTAGCAGCTCACACAGCACTGGGAGAATGGGCAACTGCGATACGCGTAATTATGCTTCTGAATAGCTCAAGCAACAGCAAAGAATAAAAGTCTCAAGTGTCTATGTCTTTTTTTCTCTTTAATATTTTGTGTGTGATGTGGAAGCCACGTAGAAGCTACTTAAATCCCAGATCTTATGCAGAATCTCTGCTAGAGTGCGAGTCCAAACAAAAGGCAGCTTTTGTCCACTTTCAATAGCTTGCAGGCCTTTGGTTTGAATTGTTTGCAAAATTTAGACAATGCCATATTTAGAGCTGCACGTGAAATCGTAATTCAACTTATAAATTTATTTTAGTTTCAGGGTCACACGCTGTTTTTCCAGGGTGTGCCTGCTTAAACCCATGATAAAATGGTTCCACTGAATGAATAGCTGTTCAAGGTTTTGGTTTATCATCTTCATTTCTCGGAGACCTGGAGCATGCTTAATGCAAATGGAATCTATGATTTTCTTTTTTTTAATTTAATTTTTTTCCCCTCCTTCCCTGGAACTGAAAGACCTCTGCTTTACATGTGCCTTTAGGAAATTCCAAAGGTTTCATATTATCCAATTTTTAATGAATTTTCACAAGGAGGCAAAACCCAGCTGACATACCAAATCCCTCAAATCCCTCGGTCAAATGGCTGGTGGGCTTTATTAAACATTTATAAAGTTGATTTTTTTTTTCTTTTTTTTTTTAATGGTGAGATCGCTCGGTGGCTGAAAATGTCACATTATAATGGAAAGTGTTAGACCACTTTTACACCAGGTATTCTTTCTAATTCAACTATGATGAAGATCATTAGTGTTAATCAGAATTTTTTTTCCATTTAGGGTCCTGAGAGCACTTTGCCATTGTTAAAGTGTAAAGCTTAATCTCACAGGATCCTTGCCCTGGTCAGCAAATGTGTATTATGTTTGGGCAGCTTTGAGGGGGAACATGGAATCAGAACAGGATAGCAATGGCATGAGGTATCTTAGGCTGTTGGTTTGGGTAATAACATGCTTCATCGTCGAGTTTGCTGTGTTAATTCCTTTTGTAAGGCAGGAGTCAGCTACCAAAGTTTCATTCTTCAGGATCTGAAATCCAGCAGCTAAAGATAACCACAGGATTGTTCCATAAAGAAGCCTCTGTAAGGTGTTTAGCGTCACAGGGCAGAAGAGTTGACAGGAGCCATGCACAGTACGAGCAGTGTGTGAAACACAGCAGGCATGGGCTGTGGCAGAACCACCGTCGGTAATTATGGGGGTAATCACTGCTGGGCAGGGGAGGCTCCACAGGATTGTGCAGGGGATCATCAACATTTTCTGCAGTGCTTTCAAAGCAACTGTAAAATCACTGTTAAGCTGCAAGCAACCCTAAACTGGTGTAAATAATGACTCCCAAAGCATGTGCTTTTTATGTAGAGTGTTATGTCTGCCTCTGTTGCTTGTCCTGGAGATCACAGGGAAGATGGGTCAATGCTGCGAGAAGGAGCTATTCCATCAGATCACCCTGCCAGAGCTGTTGGTTAGCAGATTAAAATTCCTGCCATCCTCCCTGTGCCTTGCTCTGAATTTTTAAGCCAAACAGAAGGGAAACATTAGAACGCATTTGTTCTATGAGTCCCGCGAACACGGAGCCTCCGGTTATTTTGAGGGCAGTACGTGCTGTACCCGCTAACATCTGGACCGGCAGCAGCAGTGCTATTAAGTAACGTGGCAGTGAGGCAGGAGCCCCTCTCTACGCAGGGCTGTCTGGTGGGGCAGCAGTGTTCAAGGCCAATGCTGTCCTGTCTTTGCAGGGTGAAGACTTTATGTTTACGCAATAGATTGTTTTTTTAATTAAAGGACATACTTAGTTGGTTTTCGCTTGTACCGTGAACACGCATGACTCCTCACAAAACAAGATGGCACCTTTGTAAGCTTACAGCTTAATTCACATAAAACCTGACAGAAGAGGATAAATCTAGGATAAATGGGAAGCAGGTAGCTCCCACTGAAAGTAGAGCTGTGTGGTCATTTTTAACTCTTTGACTGTTCTTGAGAGCACCTTTGCTGCCCAAGGGTACGTCCCCGTGGAGGCGGGTGGGAATGATCCCAGTGTGTGCTGGAATGCTTGAGCCATTAACCAAACTAGCTGAAGTGCCAACAGGAGTGAAAAGCTGGCACAAGAGAGGGGGTCATTTGCCCCTCTGTCTTCCTCGCACTTGTCATCCAGATGAGCTCAAGTGCATCTGCACGAGCTGCTGTCACCCCGCCAAGATGCACCCCCACTACAACCTGGTACTAGTGCCTTGTGGCAGTGAGCGGGGACAGCGGGAACTGCTGCCAGGAGTGCATTTCAATTTTTTTATTTTTTTTTAAGAATAAATAGCAGTCTGCTATCTTTGGTATGTGATTGTGTTTGTTGTTTTATCTTTCCTTTTTTTTTTCTTTTTCTTTTTTTTTTTGTTACCAGAGTGCCTCTGATGGCTTTTGGAAGTCAGTGGCAACCCGTGTCCCAAGAGAACCTCATGAGATACGTATCCTGAATCCCTACTTCATCCAGGAGGCAGCTTTCAGCTTCATCGGACTGCCTTTCAACAACGGCCTGATGGGCAGAGGGGTAGGTATAAAGCAAAGCAAGCAAAACCAGAAGGACGGATGAGACACCAGGCAGCAGAGTAGGCTTACGCTGTTCTTAGTTTTCCTTTGGGCCTCCACTGGTGGACACTGAAGGGAAGAGACTTTGGCTCTGTTGTGGTGGCAGCACTTAGCCTCCTTCAGGCCAAGGCAAGATCCTTCCTTGGAACACACTGAGGATTTTGTGGGGGATCATCAACATTTCAGCGGTGCCTTGAATACAGCTGTGAAGTTGCATCCCGGGCTTACAGTAAAAGAGGGTACAGGTTAGTTTTATGAGGCCTTTGGTAAAAAATTCTGATCTTAGAGCGACAAGTTTTAGATATAAAAGCTTGCAAAAGACAGTCCTAGGTCAAAGTTATTAACAAAATACCTTAATGGTCATTCTCATACCTCTCACCCCCAGTGCAGCTTTGTGGAGTGATAGTGCGGAGTAGGTGGTGACTTGGGTTGTCTGGATTATCTCACACTGCAGCACTGTCCTCAGAACCTATTTATATTTGCGCTACCTAATATATCAGCCATTAGAGAAAGTATTACTTGGGTGGGCAAATTACTCATGTACACATGTGATATAGTTGTTGACATAGACCCCACGTGACATTTTTTGGGCACATTAGCACAGCTGACAAACCCAGAGAGAAACACTTTTGCTGGACAAGGTCTGCTTGCTGTGCCCCTGGCATTGTCCTTCCGTTGTTATCAGTGCAGGAGATTTGTCATGCCGCCACATGGATTTGGACTAGGCAGAGTAGCGCCTCATTTTCCGTGCTCTAATTGTATTGTGAAGTCTTCAGAAATATTAGAAACATTTGGTTTTTGCAGGTTAGACGGGTGGCTGCCTGGAGGTAAGAAATTTGCTTCTTAAAATGTGGTGTGCAAGATGTGCAGACAGGTTCAGCTGCACAGAGTGTTCTTTTGTGAAACACATTGCTGCGTGTGTACGTACAGAAGCTGTTATGGGCTTCTGGAAACACTGGGGTTTTGCTCTGTGCACTGAAGGTACCTTATCCCAAATATTCCCTTCAGTGAGGGAGTAACTTACCTCACCTCTCTGCATTCTCCAGAACTTACCCTTAGAAGGATGTGGTCTTGATTTGTCTTCCAGAAAATCAGGACTGCTGCCCCAATGAAGGACAGAAATCATCAGACTTTTGCACTTATTTTCTCCAGATTTGTTTTTATTTTTAAACACGTTATTTTAATACACAAGATATTACTTAAACTGAGAGGAGAAGAGAGAATCCGGAAATGAAAATGCTGTGAACTGAAGTTTATGAGGTTTTGATAGGTTGTTTAACACACATCCGATTGGGAAATGAAGGCATCTTAATTGAAACCTGATGTTTCACTTCATGAAAGCCCATTTGAGCATTTAAATATAGTTTATGGAGCTTTAAGGCAAGCAATCTTTGCCCATGACCCCTGCTAGATTGTGTAAATTTTAGTTCTTTCCTTCAGATGGGGCAGCAGGAGCTCTGCAGGTGCATCTGTGGGGCTGGGACATTAGTGTATGCGGTGCTGCCTGTGCGAGGACACTAATGCAGTGATTCTGTCGGAGTTTAAAAACAGAGACAGAAGATTTCTAGCCTGTGGGTACAAACTTTGCTGCAGACATCAGCTATGGACTGCTGTCATGGAGCTGCTGGGACATCGTGCCGTAGTGAATACTGCTGCATCCGTGCAAAGCTTCCCACAGAAGCTGCTGCTGCCAGTGTGAAGAGGGAAGAAGAGTCGGAGTAGGGTGCTGGTGATACAAATTTGCTACAGACCTTTTTTTACTCAGAGATTAAATGCGAAGAGTAGAAATCAGAGCCCATAGACCAAGAATCCAACCCTCAGTAAAGATTTGAGAAAGATCCAGCCAGATGAGTGAGGCAGCTAGAGCAAGGAGAGTTGCTCCGCAGGAGACAGTGTGTCCCAGCAGCCGCAGAGCATAGCTGGCTGGGTTCAGGGTCGTGCTTTAGAGATGTGAGACAGCCTGGAGAACTTTTCTCGAGAAAGAAGCCCGTGAACATGAAAAAGGAGAACGCTGAGGTCTAGTAAGCAAAAGCACAGCAGACAGAGTGTGTGTCCTGAGTTTCTCAAGGGGGAATCAGGATGGGGGCAGGTTGGTGACCCTGTGCTGCAGTGTGCTGTGGTATGTTGGGCAGGCTACATGCAGGAGGATAAAGGCTGGGGATGCCTTAGTAATCAAGGCCAAGGTGAAATCCTCATAAAGAGCAGTAATATTGGTTCTGATGCCTAAATAAACTTCACTGCTTCTCTTACACACCACATATGGTAACAATGTGCTGCCAATTAACTTTGTAATTTGGGGGCTTTTTCAGCAAGGTTGAGGAGAGCTAGTAAAATAGTTTGGGGCTGATCTCAAAGCGTTTTTCCCAGGATTCAATAAAGGGTGAATGTAGTAACATCCTCTGCTTTGATAACATAATCTGGGCCAGATGGTTCTGGAGGATAGTAGGGGGGTACAACTCAGATGTGCGTTTGATTGCACTTGTGGCATTAGTAGCCGAAAGTCTGAGCAAGGAGCAAAATTGGTCACCCACAGCAAACAGTGACTTCTCTCTTCTTTTCAGAAGTTTCCTCAGTCCATTTACTGAAGTCTTGAGAAGAGGGAGAGCTGTTTCCTACTACATGTGGACTTCTCTTTTCTTGGGATAAGCTGATGATAAAGAAAAACATCAGTTTCGGATCCTAGCAATGTCTAGGGAAAATTAAAGGTTAATGTCTGAAGATGGTTTAGCACGAAAGAAACAAGCTAGTAAAGATCCTCTCTTTGATTAAAGAATCCCCTTAAGCAGTGGGCACAGGCTTGGCTGTTTCACTAGCCAAAACTGTATGTGTGTGATTGATGTTTTAGGTGGAAGTTCTGTGTATACGGGTCCTTCGGGCTTGAAACCAGACATCACTGGTATTGCAGCTGGTAATTCAGGCATGCAATAACCTACCTTACACTGCAGAGCTTACTGGGGGACAAGCGTGAGCATCAGTCCGTTCAGAGGCATCATTGCCTGTTGCGTGTGCAGCCCTAGGGATGGTTATTGCCATGGTGTTTCTTGCTGTGTAGTGAATAGTGCTGTCCACACAGCAGCGCTCAGACCCATTGGAGCAGGGGCTTTCTGGCTCCTGTGGGAGCCCTGAGCTTGGTGTGAGGTGGTCAGGAGCACATTTCAGATGACAGAAATTGTTGGAACTCTGATGACTCCAGTGCAGACTGTGGTGTTTGTTCCTCCCTCTTGGTTGGTGCTGTGCATCCATGGAACTGCTTAACTGATTTAACTTCTTATGAGATTAAGCTGTGCTGCCCAAAACTGTAGTCTTTGGTTTGTTCGTGTGCTGGAAATGTCCTAATCCGTAGACCCCTTACTAAGGAGGTAAAGCATCCTTCTCTGGACTTCACCCAGCCTCAGCACCAAGGAGGAGCCTTGTGTGAGAGGTGTTACCAGGCTGCTGTCAGGCGAGCCTCCGGCCATGGATTAGCACCTCTGCAGAGTGCTGACAGCCCACAGGCACTCGGGGATTAACCTCTGATGCTGGAGTTAGCACATCCTGCCCCAGGGCTTTTCTCTGCTGTTGTGTGGTTTTGCCTATGGGCAGGCAGCCTTTCTGGAGATGCCAGTGGTGACCCTTGCTGCTGAGGTAGCTTTTCAGCTCCCTTAGCTGGTCCTAACGACCCCTTTTCTCGTTAATACTGGGTTGCCCTGCTGTCAGCAAGCTTTGTCTCCTGGGCTGTTGTTGCTGGACTGTCACTGTGTGAAGGCCGTGTCTTGAGAGCTGTTGGGTCTTCATGGAGCAGAAGAGAGGTGGGGGATGGCAGGAGCAGAGCAGTCTGCAGCCCAATCCTTCCAGTTGTGTGCTTCTCCTTTTTTTGCACTCTGACAGCATCTACTAAGGCAGGTGGAGGGACAGGTAAAGGGCCACTGCACCTGCAGTCAGTTAAATACAGAGACTTGCTGTCATTGTAAGCTTTGGATTTGCCAGACAGCACATCTGCGTCCTGGGCTGGGCTGTTCAATCTGTTACTGCTGCAGTGTGATCAGTCCATGAGCTGCTGGGGAGCAGACGCTCAGACAAGCCATTATCAGGTAGCAGGTAAATGCGTACCAGCCACTTCTCAGTAAATGCCCTACCACATGCTTCTGCGCATGACAGATGCAAAGTGACTGAAGGGAGTTTACTTTTCAGTGAAAGAGTAGGCCATGAACTCCCATTTAGCATAGGGTGAAGCATATACGTGGTTACCACAGAGCAGCTAGCGTGTGGTAAAGTCATGCCCTTGCTTGCCCTCTATTAAATTATTAGGTCATTAAGAAATACTCCCTGCATTACACAGGAATCTGCTCTACAGCAAACGATGAATCAGTGCTTGTGCATCAGGTGAGATGTGGTCAAAGATAATTGATTTGGGCTAAGTGGTGTAGGAGCTCAGCAGTTACATGGCAGAATGGAAGCCTGCTGGGCAGCTCAGCTTGTCGCCCGCAACAGGCCCCTGGCCCTTCCCTTTTGCTCTGCTGCAGACCACCGGCTCTGGAGGCTCTCCTGCTTACAGCAAGGGATAACCAGGGGAGGTGAAGGAGGAGTGTTGGAGATGCTCTACTTTGTCTTTTGAAGCCCGATATTGGAGCTGATACTGTGCATGGAGAGAGGTAGCTGTGGGAGCACCTTACAGATTGTAAGCTCTGGTGACAGGGCGGTCCCCTGGCTCTGCAGAATGCCAGGCACTTGTCTGCTCACAGTAAGTGATGCTAAATTGCTTTTTATGTCGTATTTCCAAACTCAACCGCTAACAGAAGCAAAACATAGGTTTGAGGTTGTTCCTGTGCAAACGTAAATGACCAAAAAGAAAATATGGTGACGGTTGTGTATAGCGTGTGATGGCTATTATAGTTTGGTTCTGTATTTCTTTTATTTTGTCTTTACTGCTATTAGGTGATCAAGCCTGTAACTGATAAAACTAAGGTAGCAGTTTTTCCTAGG